AGATCTGGTCAAACGTCCGGCCTCGGGTCTCAGGCACTCTTAGGAAGGTGAAGGCGAAAAAGCAGAGCAGAAGGACCGCGAACAGAAGGAAGACGTACGGACCCATCGCCTCCTGGACAGGCGGAGGAAGAGGTGTTGGCGGAGGGGAGGGCGGGGGGGGGGGGTGCTACACACACAGCAGGGCGGTTCCTTCGCGGGGCAGGGCGAACAACCAGGAATGAGAATGAGAATGGAGGGAGGAAAGGATTCTCCGTTCCCCAGCCTCTCTCGGAATTTTTCGCCGTCGTTACCACGGTGAGGGCCAGAGCGTTTCCGCTCAGCCTGGATCCCCAGCCACCTGCAGTGTGGACGTGAAGCTGGGCGCGTCACTCTGCAGTTACGCCACAGCTCGGAGGCCCTTCCGTTGTTACCCCTTCAGCTCCCTTGTCCCCTCCGGCTCTCGGGGAGCAGGTGGTCTCCAGGGCCCACGTGGTCCACCAGAGCGACCCTGGGGTCGGGGATGGGGGTGGGGCTGGCGGGGACCTGCCCCACCCTGGCCTACCGGGTAGGAGGCGGGACGGGGGCAGGGCACCTACCGCTATGTACTGGAAACCCATGCCGATGATGAAGTTGCACGTCCAGTTGGAGAAACCAGCCACGGCCATGGCCGCCGGGCGGGGGCCCTGGCTGAACAGCTCAGCCACGATGAACCAGGGGATGGGCCCGGGGCCGATCTCAAAGAATGCCACAAAGCCAAAGATGGCCACGATGGAGACGTAGCTCATGGCTGGAACCCGCTCCTGGGGGACGGGCAAGGAGAGGAAGGAATTCAGGTCCCGTCTTTCCGGATCTTCCTTTGCTCTCAGTGCAGAGAACTGACATCTACCCCTCCCAGCAGCTCACGGAAGAGCCTGCCACCCTAAGTTAGAACAGGTCTTGGAGCATTTCTGACCACTGACATCCAGCTGGCTGCCCAACTGCTACTCCATTCAGGGCAGAGAGAATGTTCTACGTTGTCAGCTATCAAGGTGGTCGCTTCTCCGGGCGCCTGAGTGGCTCAGTCCGTTAAGCGTCTGACTCTTGATTTCGACCCAGGTCGTGATCTCCTGGTTCTGTGGGTTCGAGCCCCGCACTGGGCTCTGCACGGACGGCGTGGAACCTGCTGGGGATTCTCTCTCTCCCTCTCGCTCTGCCCTTCCCCTGCTTGCGCTCTCTCTCCTTCTCTCTCTCAGAAAACAAAAAAAACAAAAAAAAAAAAAAAGAGGAAAAGCTAGTTGGTTCTCTCTTGGTTCTCAAACTGGGTCCTTAGGAATTGTTGTTCCTAAAACTAGACAGTGGCTCTCCTCCCTGGCTGCCGGGGTTCTGCCCGAGCTTCCTCCCAGAGCAGGAAGAGGTGCAGGAACATAGGGGAACGCGGACCATGGTCCCGGCCCGAGGCTGGCCCCAGAGCTCCTCGGGGCGGTGCCCTCGGGCTGGGCCGCTGGCTCCCTCCCCCTCCCCAGGCCTCACCAGCAGCAGCAAAGCTATGGTCATCAAGATGGCACAGCCACACATCCCCGCCAGGCCCAGGAGGTGGAGGGTCCGACGCCCCGCACGCTCTACCAAGAACACCTGCGAGGAGGAGTCACGGCTTGGCAGGGGGCCTCCGGGCACGGGAGTGGGAGGGACTGGGCGGGTGGGGGCTAGTGGGGGACACGAAGGCGACGGTGGGCGCCCACAGTTACCGAGACCAAGGTGAAGACCGTGTTGACCACGCCGGCCCCTATGGTGGCGTAGGCTGGCCGTCCTACCCCTGCTGTCTCGAAGATGCTGGTTGAATAGTAGAACACCTAGGAGCGGGGGAGAACAGACGGGGACGGCAGGGGTGACCCTCTCCCCCCCCCCCCGGTGGCCACACCAAGCCCGACCGACCCGAGTTTGAACACGGGGAGCCTGCGCCCTTCTTCTCCCCTCCTCTCGGGCCGGGCCCCGACCCCCGCCCTTCCCGGAGGCTGCGGCTCGGGCTCACGTACAGCGTTGATGCCCGAGAGCTGCTGACTCAGCTGCAGCACGACAGCGATGGCCAGGGGCTGCCGGTGGGTGCGGCTGCCCAGGAGCTGGAGCAGAGACAGCGGCCGCTCACGCTCCAGCTTCCGCTTCTCCTCCTTCAGCTCAGCCAGCGCTCCGGACGTGTCAGCCCAGCCCGTGAGGCGCTTCAGGCCTGGGGGCGAGGAGGGTGGGGCCTGAGAGGGAGGGCTGGCGGGGAGGGGGTCTGGGAGGGCGGGGAGGGGGGCCTGGGGGGGGGGGGCCTGGGAGGGCGGCCGAGCAAGGCGGGGCGCAGGCTCACTCTTTCTGGCCGGCCCCTCCAGGTTCCGGCTGATGTAGAGGTAGCGGGGGCTTTCCGGGCACAGGGGCAGCAGGACCAGCTGCAGGAGGGCAGGCAGCACCGTGATGCCCAGCAGTAGTGGCCACAGGGTGGCCGTGCCCAGCATGGACTCCAAGCCCAGCACCTGAGGAACGAGGGTGGGAAACGGGACAGGCCATTCAGCCCGGAGCCCCCCCCCGCCCCCCGCCCCCCGCCCCCCCGCCTAGCCACTCATAAGGCCTGGCCCGGTCACCTGGGCGATCAGAATGCCAATGACGATGGCCAGTTGGTTGAGCGTCCCCAAGGCGCCCCGCAAGTGAGTGGGGGCGATCTCCCCCACGTACATGGGCACCAGCCCCGACGTGAGCCCTGGGCAGAGGGAAGAAGAGAGGGCTGAGGGCAGCTGGCCACTCCCCCCTGCAGGTCCAGTGATGGTGAACGGACAAGATAGCAGGGCACTGGGCAGGGCCATGGCGCCCGTCGGTACCTGAGTAGGCGCCAATGAGGAACCGTCCGAGAATGAGCATCTCGTAGGACGCAGCAGCATTGGCCAGGCCCATGAGGGTGCCCCCCAGCACCGCCAGGATGTTGTTGACCAGCATGGCCCTCTTCCTGACGGGCAAAGAGTGGGGCTGGAAGTTAGGGTGCCATGCTGTGACCCCTGGTCCTGTCCCTCACCCCTGCCCTCCAGGCCCATACCTTCCCAGCCACTGAGAGACGACACCAATGAGGAAAGAGGAGATCATGCCGCCCACAGAAAAGATGGCCACGGACAGAGCCCAGAGGGTGGTGAGGGTGCCTGGCGGGATGGAGCTGGGTCCCTCCGGCCCCTGCCTCCCCAGCCACGTCTCATTGTAGCTCTGTTCAATCACCTGGGGGGGACAGCGTAAGAGTGACTGCCTGCAGAGGCGTCTCCCTCTGCTGTCCCTTGCTGTCCCCTGCCCTCCTTGTTTAGACAGTCCACACCCTGCCAGCCACAGACCCCTCACCTTCTGCGGGGCATTGATGACCCCAATGTTATAGCCAAACTGGAGGGAGCCGAGCACAGCAGAGAACACGGCGAGGACCAGGGTCCCGGTTACTCGCTGCCGTGGGGGCTCCCCGTCCTGGGTAGGCAGAAGAAGAGACGAGGCATGTCACACAGAATCAATCATGCTTCCTTCCTTTCTTTCCTCCAGGGGCCCGGGCCCAGCCGGAGCTTTAAGATGCTGGGTTCTATCCAACATGTTGGGTGAGGGAAACTGGGCCATATTAGGAATAGAGCAAAGATCTCAGTGTAAACAGTACTAGGAAGAACCCAACAGTGATCAGCCATGAAAAAGAAAAAAAAAAAAAAACAAAACCAAAACTGGGTCTTTGGGTCCAGCAAGCTGAGAAATGTTTGAGGACCTCGGGCCTCACCATTCCTCTGTGACCTTGGGACAGGCTTGGCCTTAAGACTTGAGTTGGAATTTGGGTGACCTTGGGTGAGTCCCTTCCCCACTCTGAGCCTAGGTTTCCACTGGGTTGTGTGGGGGGGGGGGGGGGCGGGCAGGGGTGATGTTGCCTGCTTTGCCTACCTGTCAGTAAAAGTCAGAAAGTCAAAGTCAAGTGTTAACAGTATTCCGGACACTGCTGGGTTGATAAAGCGAAGCGGGCCTTATCATCCGCCTCTGCCCTCTTTCCTCTCCCCCTCTGGGGCTCCCTCAGCGGGCTCCCGGAGGCGCCCAACGGGCTCAACAAAAGACAATTCCAAAAAGGACATCGCGGTCATTCCTCCCCGCATATGGCCCTTGGGGTGGCCTTCTCTGTCCCCGCCCCGGCCTCCCTTCCCCCTCCAGGCTCCGACGAAGGGCGGGGGGCCGTGCCCGGCTTCTGCCTGGGGGAGCCAGGCCCAGGGGATGGGGGCGGGAAGGTGGTGTGAGGGGCGGTGGCGGTGGTGGCCGCTCGCTGGCGGTACGGACTGTCTCTAAGCGGAAACCTGAGCTGGGGGGGGGGGGGGGGGGCCCCCCCCCCCCCCCCCCCCCCCACCCGGGGGGCTGCGGCACCGCCCCGCGCCCCGGCGGCCGCCCAGGGGGGGGGGTGGGGGCCCACGGAGAGCCTCCGGTCCTCGAAAAAGTTCCCGAGAGAGCCGGGACAGACGGACAGCTCCAGGAGGGCACGGCTCGCCTGGATCTGTTTTCTCAAGCTGGATCGCGGGCAGGGTGTCCCCGATCCCCGCGCAGCGCGCCTCGTACTGGAGAAGGGAGCGAACCCTGGACTCGGGAAATCCAGTGGTGGCCCGTGTCCCCGAACTGTCCCCGAGACCCACTCAGCCTCTTGGAAGGACTGGAATCCGACAGTCACGGGTTGCCCCGCAGGGGTATAAATAGCCAGGCCCCCACCCCCACCCCCACCCTCCCCCCTGCGCCTGCGCAGGGACCGCCCCCTAGCTGACCCCAAAGGCGACCCCAGCCCGAGAAAGAGGGCCCTGTGCCCCCGTCCCGCCCCCTCATGCTGAACCGTACTTCGGAGCCGATCTGTTGGAAACCCGACGGCATCTTGTCTCAAGAACCCGAGGCGCAGGAGCAGCAGTTAACGGGGAGGCGACTGGGGGTCGGCGGTCCCGGCCTGGCGGGCCGAGGGCGCGGGGCGACGGGCGTCCCGGAGCGACCGCGCGGAGGGCGAGCCTGGCGGGACCCACTGCCGCGAGCCAAGGATGCAGAGAGCTGCAGGGCTCCCCGGGATCTGGCGCAGCGGGGCTGGGGGGAGAGACCCGAAGAGCCCCCGCAGCCCCCACGGGCCACGCCCTTCGCAGCACCCATTGGCCAGGAGCCCGCACACCCCAGAAGGCCACGCCCCTCCCTAAGCCTCGTGTTCACGACTTGGCACTGGGGAGCGGGTGGGGCCGGCGAGACCACGCCTCCCCGACGTGCCCGACGGGACACGCCCCGCGGGTTCCCGCCCGCCTCCCGCGGGCAAGTTTGGAGACAGGGTCCCAGGACACAGCGGCCCCGCCCCGCCGCGTGCGGAGACTCCGCCCCGCAGCCGGGGTTGGGGCCGAAGAGGCGACTTGGGTGCCCTGCGCCGCGGGTTGGGACCGCGGGGTCCGGGAGGAGGGGATGCGGCAGGTAGGCTGGCCCGGGAGAGAAGTCTGGCGGCCCGACGCAGCGCGCGCGAGGTGGCGCGCGGGGTGGCTGGCGAGCAATGGCCTGGAGTAACCCCCCCGCGGCTATTTTTAGCTCCCACGTTGGGAGACGCCAAATGTCAGGTCCCGGGTGTCCCGGCCTGTCCCGGGCGGGGGAGGGCAGGGAGATGGAGCCTTAAAGGGTCCGAGGCGCGCTTCCCACGCGGGGACGGCCCGGGTGGGAGGAGGGGGACAGGAAATTCCGCTCCTAGAGGGTGGCGTGTGTGGGCCTGGAGGTCCTCCTTCCGTGCACCCCTGCACCTATCTGGCCCTCCCCCTACACCCGTTCCGCACACTGGCTCCTGGAGGCGGCCTGAGGGACAGCTGTTCACACCAGTCACGCCACCAGCCTGAGGTTCCCGAGCCGCCACCAGTGTGCCGGCCGCGTGGACGACTTGGACACTCTCTCCAGAGGCCGCTCCGGGTCTGAACCCCCAGCCAGGAGGACGCGACCTAGTGTTGGCGCGCCGCGCGTTCCGCGGAACGCGCGGCGCAGCCCTCGGGTCCCCGAAGCGCGGGGCTGTAGCACCACCTGCGGGGCGAGCGAGGATCCGCAGCGGATCCGGGCACAGTCGTCTCTGGCCCCCTGTCCCTCGCAGGTCCGCCTCGGAAAGGCTTCGTTACATCCAGCCCAGGCCTCCTTCTGGAGCTCCGGACCCCAGTATTCAGCTACCGCCTGCGCCGGGCGGCTCGCATCATCAGCATGCCCACACCCGCTCTTCCTTCTGACCTCTTCATCCCCGTGGATGGTCCCGTTGGCCACCCTGTCACTCCTGGGGGGAATCCCGGAGGTCCTGCTTGCTTCCTCCTCCCTTGCCCCTTCCCCTCCTCCCCTTCCCGCCTCCCGCCTTTATCCAGTGCGTTACCGGCTTTGGTGCGCTGACCTCCTAAATTCACATTCATCAGATTTTCTCCACCTGCCTTGCTGCCGCCTTGGTCCAGACCACCATTAACCTCCTGCTCCTTACTTTCCCTGCCGCGGAGGACGGCGTTCAAGGCAAAAGGTTCAACCTCATCACTCCTGCCCCCAGACTCTCTGGTTCCTTGTTGCCCCCACGTCAAATTCAAACCCCTTTTCAGAGTGAAAACTCCTGCTTTTCTTCTCTCTGCCTCACCTTCCCTTCTTTTCCCTCGTGTTCTAGGCAATGCCTAACCCCTTGGTGGTGGTGGTGGTTTTTAAGCTTATTGATTTATTTTGAGAGAGTGAGCACGAGTGGGGCAGGGGCAGAGAAAGAGAGGCAGAGAGAGAATCCCAAGCAGGCTCTGAATTGTCAGTGCAGAGCCCATAGGGGGGGCTGGAACTCACAGACCGGGAGATCATGACCTGAGCCGAAATTGGACGCTTAACCCACTGAGCCACCCAGGGGCCCGATACCTGACTCTTTGTACCCAGAACACATGGTGTCATTTCTGTCCTGAGTGCCTTTGCTGTACGAATCTCTCAATCTGGAAAACCAGAAGACTTCTGTTCACCCTTCAAAAACTGCCCACCTCCTCTCTGAAACCTTTCTTGGCCTTCCTCTGGGGGGCGGGGGTAGAGAAAGAAAGCCCCGTGTCCCCAGCGTAGTAGATCGTCATTTGTTTTCTTCCCTCTGTACTTAAGCCTTGAGCATAGAAGTTCACCTTGTTTCCCTCTGTGCTCCCAGCACCCAGCCTTAGTGGTGGGCACTCAGTACATGTTGGATGAATGGATGGATGAATGAATGAATGAATGGATGGATGGATGGATGAAGGTCTGGCCTTATGGCCAAGAGCACAGGCTGGAGAGCCGGCACAAAAGAGGGAACTATCAGGGGATTGGCTCCACCTATCTGGCCAAGGGGGCATAGATGAAGAACTAAAGTGTCAACATTGAGGAGTACCAATCCTTTAGGAGCCGAAAGGAGCGGAGGCCATTGATAGAAGCAGGGAAGGGCCAACGAGGAACCAAGGACTCGGGGATGCTACAAGGGGAGGAGGGGAAAAGCCAAGCAAGGTGCCTAGAACAGAGGGGTTAAAGGGGGGCTCAGACTGGGGGCAGATGGAAAGTCAGAGTAGCAGGTGAGGTTCTGGGCTCCGTTCTACGAGGGCACATTCCTGCTCTCATTCAGATGCTGTGTTTCTGATGCTTCTCAGCGACGCTTCTAGACAAGAGAGAAGGCAGGAGAGCTGGGAGGGAGAAAGAAAGATGGCCTGGAAGGTGAGCAAGGGGTTGTTGATAGAAGATGGAAGGAGAGGAGAGACACATGACATTGGGGGGGGGGGGGGGGCTTTACATCGGAGCGCACGTGCGTGCGTGCGTGCGTGCGTGTGTCTTGCTTCTTGATAGACGGCTGTAGCCCTTCCCAAACTCTGCCCTCTGCCACGGGGAGTTCATCCCTGCAGGCTTTTGTTTCCAAAGCTCCTGTGACCACTGCCTTCTGGCTGGGTTCAGCCCGTGATGGGTAAGCGATGGAGGTGGGAGGGGGCAGGAGAAAGCCAGGATGCCCCCACCACACACACACACACACACACACTACCTTCTGCTCCTACTTCACAGGACCATTTGGCTTCCAGTTTCTGGAAGGCATCCTGGATTTCCGAGCTTCAGCAATGCCGTCTCCCCTGTTCGCTCCTTCGCTGCATTTTGTCCATAGATCAGGGTCTGAGGTGCAGAGGATTGAATTAATGACACAGTTCTTGGTGCATTATCTGTGTTGATTGATGTCTTGTTTTTATTTTATTTTGAAATGTTTATCTTTACTTTTGAGAGAGAGAGAGAGTGCGTTCGAGCAGGGGAGGGGCAGAGAGAGAGGGGAAGAGAGGATCTGAAGCAGGCTCCAGGCTCCGAGCTGTCAGCACAGAGCCTGACGCGGGGCTCGAACTCACGAACTGTGAGATCATGACCTGAGCCCAAGTTGGATGCTTAACCCACTGAGCCACCCAGACGCCCCATACGTCTTGTTTTCATTTTAAAAGCTATTCTCTTTTGGGGCGTCTGGCTGACTCAGTTGGTACAGTATGTGACTCTTGATCTCAGGGTTGTGAGTTCAAGCCCCACGTTGGGCATAGAGCTTACTTAAAAAGAAAAAAAGGAAAACAAAACTTTTTTTGGATTCACAACCCATTTCCCTTTGTCCTCCCTCAAAAGGCAGCCATTCCAATGCATTTCATGCTCACTTGTGTTTGTGCTCTTGCAAAACATCAGTTGTTTTCTGTGCAAACATTTCTTTATTTTTACTTTTATTTTTTGACAAATCCTATTTTATTAATTTTATTTTCTTAAACTTACATCCAAAGTAGTTAGCATATGGTGCAGCGATGATTTCAAGAGTAGATTCCCAGGGGCGCCTGGGTGGCGCAGTCGGTTAAGCATCCGACTTCAGCCAGGTCACGATCTCGCGGTCCGTGAGTTCGAGCCCCGCGTCGGGCTCTGGGCTGATGGCTCAGAGCCTGGAGCCTGTTTCCGATTCTGTGTCTCCCTCTCTCTCTGCCCCTCCCCTGTTCATGCTCTGTCTCTCTCTGTCCCAAAAAATAAATAAACGTTGAAAAAAAAAAAAAAGAGTAGATTCCCTAATGCCCCTCCCCCACTTAGCCCATTCCCCCCCACACACCCCCTCCAGCAACCCTCAGTTTGTTCTCCATATTTCTGAGTCTCTTCTGTTTTGCCCCTCTCCCTGTTTTTATATTATTTTTGCTTCCCTTCCCTGTGTTCATCTGTTCTGTGTCTTAAAGTCCTCATATGAGTGAAGTCCTATGATTTTTGTCTTTCTCTAATTTCACTTAGCATAAGACCCTCCAGTTCCATCCACGTAGTTGCAAATGGCAACATTTCCTTCTTTTTGATTGCCGAGTAATACTCCATTGCATGTATATACCTCATCTTCTTTATCCATTCATCCATCGATGGACATTTGGGCTCTTTCCAGACTTTGGCTCTTGTCGATAGGGCTGCTATAAACACGGGGGTGCATGTGTCCCTTCGAAACAGCACACCTGTACCCCGTGGATAAATGCCTAGTAGTGCAATCGGCGGGTCGTAGGGTAGTTCTATTTTTAGCTTTTTGAGGAACCTCCATGCTGTTTTCCAGAGTGGCTGCACCAGCTGGCATTCCCGCAAACATTTCTAATTTATGTAAATAGCATCTTGTTATATATTTCATTCCGATCCTACTTACTGACCAGAAGCACTATGTTTTTTTTTTTTTAGTTTATTTATTTTGAGAGAGAGAGTGTGTGTGTGTGTGTGTGAGAGAGAGAGAGAGAGAGAGAGAGAACACGAGTGGGGTTGGGATAGAGACAGAGAGAGAGAGAGAGAGAGAGAGAGAGAGAGAGAGAGAATCCCAAGCAGGCTCCCTGCGGTCAGTGCAGAGCCCCACTTGGGACTCGATGACCTGAGCCAAAATGACGAGTCCCATGCTTAACCGACTGAGCCCCCCAGGTGCCCTTGTAAGCACCATGGTTTCCGTCCTCCTTCATGCTCTGTCTGATGCGTGGGGCCTCACGGTGTCACTCACGCCACGTGTAGTTGCTCGAGGTCCCGCTGATGAACACCCGTGTCACCTGCGGTTCCCAAACGCAACAAAAGAATGTGTCAATGCACATTTCCTACCCGGCTTGTTACCGCTTCCTGTGAGAACTTCTCTGGGAGAGACATCGCTGCCTATCCGTATGTCTATTATTAATTATATCTGTCTATGCAAGTGGAATTTCTGAGTCATAGGGCATACTTACACCTACTTTGACTAAGTACTACCAGCTTGCTCTGAAGACTGACTGTCCCGGGCTCCGCGTCCATCAGCAGTGCGAGAGTGCGAGAGGCTTCTGTTACCACCCCAGCCTCTCAGCAAACGGCTAGATGCAGCACAGTTAGGAGTATGGACCCCGGGGAGCACCTGGGGGGCTCAGTTGGTTGAGCGCCTGACCTCGGCTCAGGTCTTGATCTCACGGTCTGTGAGTTCGAGCCCCGCGTCGGGCTCTGTGCCGACAGCTCAGAGCCTGGAGCCTGCTTCGGATCCTGTGTCCCCCTCTCTCTCTGCCCCTCCCGGGCTCATGCTCTGTCTCTCTCTCAAAAACAAATAAACATGAAAAAAAAAAAAAAAAGTATGGACTCTGGGCTCACACTCCCTGAGTTTGAGTGCCCTTACCAACTTGCTAACTTTGCCCTTGGGAAAGTTACCTAAGCTCTTTGTGTCTTATATACCTCATCTGTAAAATGAGAAGGGAGATAATAGCATCTACATCTTAGGGTTTTAATGAAGGGGAATAATGGAACACTCATATGGTGCTTACAGTGGATCGAACCCAGTTATGCTTTTGTTTTGTTTTGTTTTGTTTTGTTTTTAACGGCTTTATTGAGGTATAATTCACAAACAATAAACTGCACATATTTCAAATGTACAATTTGGTAAGTTTTGACCGATGTCCACACCCATGAAACCATCCCCGTCATCAAGATAGTGGACATATCCATCATGCCCCGGGGTTTCCTTTACCTCTTTGTAATCCCTCCCTACAGCCCTTCCCACCCACCCCTGTAGGCAGCCAGTGCCAGTCTTTCTAGAACACTTTGCATTTTCTGGAATTTTATGCAAACGGAGACATACAGGATGTATGGGGGGGGGGGTCTGGCTTCTTTCACTACGTAATTATTTTGAGATTCATCCATGCTGTTGTGTATCTCAAGAGTTCATTCCTTTTTGGGGCGCCTGGGTGGCTCAGTCGGCTAAGTGTCCGACTCTTGGTTTCGGCTCAGGTCATCAGTTCCCCGTTTGAGAGTTCGAGCTCTGAATCAGACTCTGTGCTGACAGTGAGGAGCCTGCTTGGGATTCTTGCAATCTTCCTCGCTGTCTGCCCCTCCTCCGTTCATGCACACGCGCTCTCTAAATAAACATTTTTTTAATTGGATTTTACTGGTAATATATACAATTATTTATTCTGGAGACAACTGATGTCTTTATAATGTGAAGTCACCGCATTTATAAGCGCAGGGGCTGTTTCTCTATTCTTCCAAGTTATCTATGTCCTTTATTTGAATTAAACTGTTTTTTTTCTCCCACTGAGGTCTTGTCAATACTTGGTTAATTCCTAGGCGCTTTATAATTTTGATGCAAATCGAATGTTATTTTACATTGTATTTTCCAGTTGGTTATTACTGGTGTAGTAAAATGCTAGCAATTTGTTTTGTTTTGTTTTGTTTTTTGTAGCTGCATCTCGCATACAGCAACCTTGCTGAAACTAATTACTAATAGTGTCTCTTGATTCTATTCCCTTTTTTTTTTTTTTTAAGGGAGAGAGATGAGGAGCAGGGAGGAGGGGAGGAGAGAGAGGGAGACAGAATCCCAAGCAGAACGTGCTGTCAGCGCAGAACCTGACGCGGGGGCTCGAACCCACAAACCGTGAGGTCACGACCTGAGCCGAAATCAAGAGTTGCATGCTCAACCAGCCGAGCCCCCCGGGCGCCCCTCCATTCGCTTTTCTAAGGATACAGTTATAACATCTGCAAATCAGTTTCATTTTGTCCCTTTCAATCATTGCACCACCTCCTTCTTTTATTTCTTTGTAGTAGCAATCAAGACCTCCAGAACTTGGTCCAAACAAAAGCGGTAACAGTGACTTTCTTTATCCTTTTCCCGAAAATAAAAGAGGTGAGCCTGATACTTTTTCACGAGGTATAAGAATGTCCTTTCTAATCTTTGTTGGCTAGAAGTTCTTGTCATCAGTAGGTGTTGAACCTCATCTTTCTCTTCCGGCGGTCCCAGGCCCCTCCCAGCCGGCCAGCTCATTTTCCCAGGTATCTCGCTCCCTTCTCTTCGTGGGGAGAGACCTCCACACCATCCACCCCCCAGTTTTCCACTAACGCCCAAGCCTTTTGCGTTTACTCTTCTTACGACCCAAGTTACATCCGGGCTCCAACACCTGAAGCGCTCTCGTGCAAACACCTCAAACTCCTTCCTCTCCTTAGCAAAATCCCAACCGTGGTCAAGTGCAATCATCCGTCTACTCGTTCCTTGTACCCAACTGTTTACTGGAGGCTACCAGAGCAAAGCAGCCACAGTGATGCTGCCTGGCCACGCTTTAAATCGGTGGCTCTTCGCCGGGACCCATTTTGCCCCTCTCGTCACCCCGACATCCGGCAACGTCTGGAGCCATTTTGGATTGTCAACTTGGGGCTCAGAGGAGGGCTCTCCTGGCATCTAATCAATAGAAGTCAAAGATGTTATGCTAAATATCCTACAATGAACAGGATAGTCACCTGCAACAAAGTTATCTGGCCCCAAATGTCAATGGTGCTGAGGTTGAGAGCTCCTGCTTTAAAATTAGTACCATAGGAGCACATGGGTGGCTCAGTTGGTTAAGTGCCTGATTTGGGCTCAGGTCATGATCTCACGGTTTGTGGGGTCAGCCCCACGTCGGGCTCTGGGCCGACAGCTCAGAGCCTTCATCCTGTTTTGGATTCTCTGTCTCCCTCTCTCTCCGCCCATCTCCTGCTCGCATTCCGTCTTTCCGAAAAATAATTAAACGTTAAAGACAATTAAAAAAAAAGAAATGAATACTACAAAATCGCAAAGGGGCAATCCACACAGGGTCGCTCGGCCCTTTCCACTTTCTTCACCCAACATGGTTTTCTCTTGGCTGGTTCCTTGCTAGTCACTTCCTAGAAAGGTCTCCCTCCGGTGGACCCAACCTCATCACATTGCCCTGTTTTATTGCCTTGAAAACATGTGGCATCTTGTTTATGCCTTTATTGTCTGCTTCCTCCCTCTAGCATCCGAGTGACCCGAGGAGGGCAGTGTCCTCATCTGGGTCGTTCCAGCTGTACGTCCGGAGCAACGTCTGGAGCCATTTATACGGGCCCTCGGGAAACATTTGTTGAACCAGTGGATGAAAACATGGTTAATTTGTAGTTTATTTTTTCATTCATTCATCAAATATTTATTGGCGATAAACCCGGAGGCATCGACAGGGGAAGACTGACACTGAGTAAATAGGCACATGAGCAAATAGTTTCTGTGATAAGAAGTCGTGCAGTTAAAGCACCAAGTAGCAGTGAGTGAGCACATCCACCGAGGGATATGACTCAGTCTGGGGCGGGGTGGTCAGGTCAGGCTTCCCAGGAGAAGCGAGGCTCCAGCTGATTGCTGAAGGATGAGTCGGATGCATCGGTCAGCAGGGTAGAGGAAGGAGGGGAGGGGACAGGGACAAGAGCATCCAGGCGTAGAGAACAGAGTGTGTGAAGGAAAGTAGTAAAAGAGATACACATCGGGAGCAGAGAGAGGGCTCGTATGGCCGAGGCACAGTCCGGCGAGCCACACACGGCATTTATTTTGCCAAGCCCAGTGTAGCAACACTGGAGCGAGGAGAGACATTGGAGGCTTTTAAGGATTTTGTTTTATTTTCATTTTTTTAAGTGTATTTATTGAGAGAGCGAGAGACAGAGAGAGAGCGCGCGCGCGCATGCACGGGCGCCCGGGAACGAGTAGGGGAGGGGCAGAGAGAGAGAGGATCAGGCTCAGCGCCGTCAGCTCAGAGCCCGACATGGGGCTCGAGCTCACGAACCGTGAGATCAGGCCCTGAGCCAAAAATCAGACACTTAACCAACTGAGCCACCCAGGTGCCCCCTGCTTTAAGGATTTTAAACAGAAAGTAACGGGACCCAAGTCTGAAACACACAAACCAGTTCACTTCCGGAGAATAGATTTCAAAAGGACAAGCGGGGAAACGGGGCTGTGGGTTTGGAGGCAGCTGGGGTGGGCAGGCAAGAGGCAGACGTGGGGGTCGGACTGAGGTGTGGCAGTGAGCTTGCACACAAGCTGGATATACTTCCGTAATGAGAAACATAACATTTTGGAGCTGGAAAGCACCTTAAAAAAACAAAACAAAAACCAACTCGGGGCACCTGGGTGGCTCAGTTGGTTGGGCTTCTGACTCCTGATTTTGGCTTAAGTCACGATCTCACTCTTGTGGGTTCGGGCCACATCGGGCTCTGGGCTGACAGTGTGGAGCCTGCTTGGGATTCTCTCTCTCTCTCTCTCTCTCTCTCAAAATAAATTATAAGAAAAAAAGATAGGTTAAAAAAAAACAAAAACACCTCACCATGAATCACAAAAGGAGAGCCTTACAGAGAAATGTTTGAGAGGAGGAAGGAAAATGGGAAATGTGGGAGAGTGGAGGGAAAAAATAGACATGGAGAGGGGGCTGGAAACATGTGGGTCTGGGAGCGGAGAGATGGGGGGGGAGGACTCCGGGCAAGGAGGCAGCAGAGTGGCGCCACGGTGCGTGGGGGCAGGGAAGGGGCTGGGAGGTAGACTCCTGAGGGAGGAAGCCCTGCATGACGCGGAGAGGGTGCACAAAGTCAGGTCCAGGCTCAGAAAGAAGGAAAGGGAAATGTGTGTGAGACGGGAGGGAAGGGGAAAGTGGAGTAGGGGTTTGGAAAGTCTCCAAGGGAAGGGAGCGACAGGTGTGGCCAAGAATGTCACCTAGGCCTGACCCCGCTCCCCACCCTCTGCTGACTTCTGGCCTCAGTGCTTTCTTCCTTTTGCTGGGAAGGACCCTCGTCGCAGGTGGGGGATAGTGACCCCCTAGAGGTGGGGTGCCAAGGGTCCAGGCAGGTCAGGGATAGGGATTGGAATGGACAGCCAAGAAGACGGGGCTGTGGAGGCCGGGGCCTGGGAGCCAGGTGTCAGCTGGAGGGCGGGACAGGAGGGTGGCGGCCAGGGGGCACGGGCTGGGCACGGGGCGTCGGGGTGCTGCTGGGCCGGTGGTTCTGGGAATGCAGACTCCAAGCAGGCTGCTGAAGGGGGGCAGTTCTGAGGGACCGGAGCTAGGGTTCCCCAAGGTGGGGACGCTTAGGAGAGCCGACTGACGAAAAGGAAAAGCAGAGGGGTGGGGACGAAAGTAGGGCAGGACAAAGAGCGCCTAGAGTAGAAACCAAGAGTCCCAGCGGAGGGGAGGGGTGGGGGGGGCGGAACCGAGGGGCCCAGGGCGTCCCCCCCCCCCCCCCCCCGCTCTGGGGCGGCAGTATCCCAGGCGCACCTGCCGGGGAGAGGGGAAGGGGCATCCCGCTGCCCAGGGAAGTCCAGTCTGGAGGGGCTGACTCCAAGCTGGGGACTCCGGAGAAGCCGCCGCCTCCTCCCTACCCGCAATCCAAGCCGGGCAGGAGAAGGGGCGTGACCCTGGGGCTCAGGTTTCTTCCTCTTCACCTGGGCAAGGAGGGGTGGGGGCCAGGACTTCCGGCTCAGGTGAGTGTCCCTTCGGTGACGTCAGGTCACCCTCGGCCGCCCTCCGGTCCCGCCTCCCCCCCCCCCCCGCGCTCCCGGTGCCCGCGGGGGCGCGCCCCTGACGCCCTACATATACTCAGGTGCGCCGCACCTGTCCGCCCGCACCTGCCCGCTCACCGCCGAGCCACCGGGCACTGCAGCCTCAGGCCGACAGCCCAGGGCACTTTGGGGGCTTCCAGTACCCAGGACCGCGCGCACACCGCCCCTCCGCCTTTCGTCTGGGTCGGGTCGCGGAGAACGCCGGAGGGGACCGCCTGGCCTTCGCGGGATCGCTTTTTCGACCACCAGTCCCCGGGCGTGGCCTGATCCTTCCGTGAGACCCTTGCCCCGCCTGAAGGATCGATTTGTGTGTGTGTGTGTGGGTGGGTGGGTTTTTTTTTGTTTTTTTGGCGTTTTTCTCGAGTGACAAAAAGATCTGCAGTCACTTGACCCCAAGCTTCTCTTCGGGTGACTCGTCTCTTTCTGTGGGGCTGCCCCTCCCCCCCGAGGTGGGTTTGCTTTACCGCAGGGTCGCCCGCCCGGCGTCCCCAGGCTCTTCCGAGGGCGAAGATGGCCAATTCGGGCCTGCAGCTGCTGGGCTTTGCCTTGGCCCTGCTGGGCTGGGTGGGCCTGGTGGCGGCCACCGCCATCCCGCAGTGGCAGATGAGCTCGTACGCGGGCGACAACATCATCACGGCCCAGGCCATGTACAAGGGGCTGTGGATGGACTGCGTCACGCAGAGCACCGGCATGATGAGCTGCAAGATGTACGACTCGGTGCTCGCCCTGCCGGGTAAGGCCGCGGGGCCGACGGGGCGGACGCGCCCGGGGAACGAGGGCGCCGGGCGGGGTGCGGGGCAAGGGCGCGAGGCCCGACGCCCGGGGTTGCCGGGGAGCAGGACGCGGAAGCGGCCGGACCGGGCCGGGGGCGGGGTGGTGGGGGCTGCACGTCGGCTGCGCGCCCCCCCCCCCCCCCCCCCCCCAGCCGAACCTCCCCGGGTCTCGGCGCCCGGCGGCCCAGCCCCCTCTAGGCCTCTCCTACCCCCGCCGCCCTGCGCGGCTGGCGGCCTCCGTCTCCCGCGCTTTTCTCTCGGACAAAAGGCGGCGCGGGGCGGAGGGCGCTGCGTCCGCGGAGGAGCCTTGCGCGCCGTCAGACGAGGGCCGCCGCCTGCGGCCTGTAATCTTATCGGCCGATTAGCCGAAGCCACAGAGCCGGTGGCCGCGATAGTGGGGGTCAGGGCTGGGCCGCGGGCCGAGATCTGCGGCCCGTGCGGGGGCTCCGGCCGCCGCCGTCGCCGCCCCTCTCCGCGGGCCCCTTCCTCCCTGCCCCCCCTCTCCCCAGCCGGGGCGGTTTCGCCGAAACCCTCGCGCCCCGGGCGGGTCCTAGGGCAGGAGGAGGGCGGGGCGGAGCGGCGAGGCCGCGGAGCCGGGAGGGGGCGGGATCCACCCGGCGCTGCTCGGGGCTTGGACGGCCAAGGGGCCCCAGCCCAGCGACCCGCGTTTCCAGGAATGAGGGCGTCCTTCCCCCTTCCCCGCAGCGGCCATACAGGCCACCCGAGCCCTCATGGTGGTGTCCCTGGTGCTGGGCTTCCTGGCCATGTTCGTGGCCACGATGGGCATGAAGTGTACAAGCTGCGGGGGAGACGACAAAGTGAAGAAGGCCCGGATAGCCATGACCGGAGGCATCGTTTTCATCGTGGCGGGTGAGCAGCAGGCCCAAGGAGGGCCCAGCGCCTCTCTTCTCCGGCCGCAGCGTGGAGGCGTGCGAGGTGCCGGCCCGGGGCCTCCTGACATGCCCCTCTTTCTCTCCCCCAGGTCTTGCTGCCTTGGTAGCTTGTTCCTGGTATGGCCACCAGATTGTCACAGACTTTTATAACCCGTTGGTCCCCATGAATCTGAAGTAAGTATGGGAGCCCGGCCTCCTAAAGGGGCGACAGTTCCGGATCCCCCTCCAGGAAAGGCAGCGTTTCTGACCCGAACCCCCTCTCTCCATAGGTACGAGTTCGGTCCTGCCATCTTCATTGGCTGGGCGGGGTCGGCTCTGGTCATCCTGGGAGGCGCCCTGCTCTCTTGCTCCTGTCCCGGGAGTGACAGCAAAGCTGGGTACCGTGCACCCCGCTCCTACCCCAAGCCCAACTCTGCCAAGGAGTATGTGTGAGCCGGGGGCCCCCTGGCCGGGCCTGGCAGCCTATGGTGTGCCCGGGGGCCCGAACCGGCCTGGGGCAGAGCTCGGCCTGTGGGCGGGGTGCGGAGACAGACAAGCCCCGCCACCCCGCTCCCGCACCTTGTACAGTTCCCCCGAGGGGGTTGGGTGAGGGACGCAAAAAGAGGAGGGTGTGCTTTTTGTACAGGAATAAAACCGTATGTTTTGGAAAGGAGGCTTTTTTTCCCTCCCCCTTCAGGGTCTCTGCTTTCTTTCAACCCAGATCCTTGCAGGGAACCCGGAACCTTTAAGTGTGTCTGCTTCAGTTTAAAACAACACACCCTGAGCGCTATCGGTGTGCAAGGCCCTCCCTGTGGCACCGTTGTCACTTGGGCCCCAATGCTAGTGACTCTCCAAGACTCAGGTGCCTGGCTTCCCTGCCTCTTCCCACGCAGTCCCTCCCACTGCCAACTCCCGCTTACACAGCTAGCAAAGTTTCTTTTTTCGTAAAAAAAGAGATTTTATTAGGCTGGGAAGGGAGGCGTCTCTGTTCCCTCACCTTCCCCTCTGCCCCTTCCCATGTTTTGTCCCGCCTGGAAGCTACTCCCTGACTCGGGGGTCACGAGGCAGGACCTCCGCACACAGGGAACACAGGTGGGGCAGGGTAAGGCCGCCGCAAACAACGAAAGGATGGTTACGCGTCCAAGGTCTCTCTCCCCCCTCCCCAGTACAGGCTAGTCAAGGCTCCCCGTCAAACATCCAGGTCACCATCTGGGTCTTCTGGGTCCAGGTCATCGAACGCGTCTGGCTCATAGAAGATGCGGCTGGTAGCGGGGCCGGGCCCAGGGCACAGCAGAGCCTGCTGTCTGGGGAGAGGAGGGGGGAGCGGGTGCTGGTGAGGGTGGGTAACGGGGTCCTGTCTGGACACGCTTCCTGGTGACTGACTCCCTCCTCTTTCTCGTTGGCTTTCGTGTTTTCTGGGTTCAAGTCCCTTTCTCTGACCTCCTCGTTTAGTCAGCATGGGAGCCGCATCCGGCACCGGGATAGACTGATGCCGCTCTCCTAACGATCCCCTACGTTCTTGGCAGCTCGAGGGCACGGATCCTGCCACGGTGTGGCTTCGCCCGCCCACACACTGAGCACAGAACGACAGGCCTACAGAGACCATTATGAACCTGTCTCTACCACACCCAACCGGCTTCCCGTCCGTCCTCCCTGCCTAGAGAGGGGCAGGGCCACTTCCCCAGGGTCTGGTCTGGCTCAGCCCAGACCCGATTGCTCTGTGACCTAAGGCTCTAATGGCGAGAAAGGAGACATAGAGGCCCTTTAGCCTCGTTGGGGCAGGAGCGGGTAGAGAACCACTCCCCAGACTTGTCTTTGGAGGTGGACTTCAGCCCCTGTAAAGTCTGAGGTTAATCAATAACCTGCCATCACCCCACCTCTCAGGCCCGGACGCGGGGCTCTACTCAGGAACCCAGGCGCCTGGCCCCCAACCTTACTTTTCGGAGCTGAACTGGAAAGGCAGTGTCAGGCTATCCTTGGCTTCTCGCTCTCTCTTGGACAGGTGGAGGTTAAAGGTCAAGTGGGAGGCAGGGTCCACCTGCAGGCACGAGGGATACTGCCACTGCCTCATGGCTGCACCCCTGACCCCACCCCCACCCCCTGCAGTTTCCAGTCTCTCCTTTCACCAGACCCACAAGCTCTGTTCCCTCGTTCCCTCGTTTCCGCCCCTGGCCTGCGAGATACCTGCCGTGTGTGAGGATCTGGGTGGGGCTGGGACTCTAGCGGGGGTCCCCCTTGGGGATCCAGGCTCAAGTCAGGCAGGACGGAGAACCACAGAGTCTGGGGGAGAAGAAAGAGCATTAACAGAAAGGTTGTTTCCACCTGACGGAACAAACCAGAGAGAAGAACTTGGCCCCCCCCACCCCCTGCTGGCCCTGCCCCTGCCCACCCCTGCCCGCCCCACCATCAGTGAAACAGCTTCCAGCCCCTGCTCTTCCCCTCGCCCTCCTTCAAAGCTCTCCGAAGGGACTCGCTCCTTCTCCCCCAACAACCGCTCCCAGTCTTTTCTCCTTTGCCGTTTCTTGGAAGTCAAGCTCTCCTCTTGGTTAAGCCCAGGGGATCCGAATCAGGCAATCCTGCGTTCAAATCCTGGCTCTACCACTCACGGTCTGTAACTTGGGTAAGGGGACAACAAAACAAGCCACCTCCCAGGGCCGTGGGGAGGATCAGGAGGGAAATGACAAAACAAGGAGACAGAGGGAAGCGCTCAGCCACACCGGCTTTCTTACTCTTCTTTCCGCCAAGACTCCCTTTCCGTCTGACCCTGACCTTAGTGCTTCCCTGGGGTTCTCCTGACCTCGAGGGTTGGGCGCTGTCGGGGCCTCCGACAGAGGATGTGGGCCGAGGCCTGGCCCGCTGTACCACTCAGGGTCACCTCGGTCTGGGCAAGGCTGCTCAATGCTCCCATGGGGCCCGGGCCATGGAGCTCTCGGTGCAGCAGGCCTAGCACGCACAGCTGCTCCGCTGCGGGGCCGCCACCTGGAAGGACAACAAGCGTGGGGCGCAAAGGGCGGTGGGGAACACTCAGAGTGGAGGCCAGGAATGGAACAGTAAAGGAGGAGGAAGGAGGGGGTGCCCCACGTTCCGTTGCTGCTCCGCCACAATCCTGACTTCCCTTGGTGAGGCTGGGACTGCGGAGCTGCAGCCCTCACCTCCTCAGAGTGAATGTGAGCCAGGCCTACTCTGACTTGGTCCTCGGTCCTCGGAGCTCCTCCCTCAGGGCCTTTGGGACGGAGTTAACCCCTTCCTCTTCCAGTCTGCTTACTTTCCAGCCTCATCTCTTACACGATGAACTACTTGAGGCTTTTGGAACTTGACCCCATCCCAGTCAGTGCCTTTGACTCCCTCCCGTTGTCTCTCTCTTTTGCGGAGCGCACACACACACACGCTTAAAGAGCATCAGCACTGTGCTCGAAGATGCCTTTGTGTTTTGACGCTTACAAACGTCGGCATGTTTGGGCTGAAGCATATGACGTCGCTATCACCTGACCTAACGGCAATTCTAAATGGTTCCTCCTAGGTGCGCCTGGGGGGCTCAGTTGATTAAGTGTCTAACTTCAGCTCAGGTCACGATCTCACGGTAAGTTCGAGCCCCGCGTCGGGCTCTGTGCTGACAGCTCAGAGCCTGGAGCCTGCTTCGGATTCTGTGTCTCCCTCTCTGCCTCTACCCCACTTACACTCTCTCTCAAAAATAAACATTAAAAAAAATTAAATAGTTCATGCTAATACTGTAATTTCACCCCTTCCCCCCACTCTTACAGAGTAAACTGAAACACTGAGAGACTCAAGCACCTTAACACAAAGTTGGGTAGCTGACTGCATGGTCAGTTCTAGAATCCACGGTATACTTCAGGGCTACTCCCAGGGCCCCTGGTCTGGCCAAATTTGCCTGGCTAACCCCTTCCTCTTCGAGACAGTTCTTTCCTTAGGACACCCTGTGTATGTTCCTTTATCATCACGGCTGCTATCAGACTGTCTTGTAACTGCTAACTTGTCTGTATCCTTTTTGGCACTTTGAGCTCCTGGAACACAAGAACCTGAGCACAGTTAGTCTTTACTCTCCTGGTATCTAGATTTGTGCCTGACGCATAGCACGTAATTTGTACTCATTGAGTGAACGAATGAAACAAATGAGTAAAAATGAACGCGGAAGAGGAACAAAAGCCTGGTTACGAAGAAGTCCAGAACTAGAATCAACGTGAAAGAGATGGAATAAGGCCCAACTGGCAATCCCTAATCATGTTCTTGCTCAGAATGGAAGAGGGCTTACTCCTTGGCAGGGGAAGGTACATGACGAGTAGTAATGAAGGGGTCTCACCACGGCAGGCGTGCTGACGGCTCATGGCACAGAGGGCCTGGCAGAGGGCGGCACAGGGAAGACGCAGCAGCAGCCAGCTCAGCGAATCGAGAGCCACAGTGACAGGACCAGGGTCCGTCCTCTCGCACATGGCCTGCAAGGCTCCCAGGGGTCCCCCCGGAAGGGCTTCCCCAGTCTGTGCCCAGTTGAGCGGGTCTCTGAAGAGGTCATAGTAAACCAGCCTGCAAAGGGAAAACAGGAGACAACTTATTAACCCTGCCCCTTCCCCTCAATCTTGAACTTCACCCTGTGATCTCTGTGGCTCTCTGTGACTTAGAGCTAAAACTGAGACACAGACTACCATGTGGGCAGCACAGGCTTTGGTGTCAGAAAGCCCTGAGCTCTAAGCGTGGCTTTACTACTTACCCAAGGTCACCTAACTGATAAACTACTTATCCTAAAACTGTTTCTTCATTTGTAGAACAAATGCACAGATACCAACTGTTTGATCTTTAGACCGATCCTTAACACGTATTAAATGCTTGACAAACGTTAGTTATCATCACCATCAAACATTTCCCGAGCCTAACTCGTGTCATTCCCTGGAGGAACAGGGAGAGGACAGGAAGTGAGACATGGTTCCTGCCTGTAGGACAGTTTAGAGAAGATCAAGAATTAGATCTAACTATAGATAAAATAGCACCACAGAAAAAAGGAGTCTGACGTGGGTTAGAAATCCTGGGATCGGATTCACGGTGGCCCAACTTGTTCCTGGACGCCACCGTCCTATCTGTTGCTTCTCTTGTTAAGTGCCACCTTAACATGAAACATCACTTCCATCACATGGTTGAAAAACCAGAGCTGAACACAGATGTAAGCTACTGAGCTGTCTAGACCGGAAAGTAATCTTTTTTATCCAGGCACACAGGTGGGTTCAGGAGTCTCCTAAGGTCTATTCCACATCAGTCTATAACTCCTGGAAATTCTACCTGCTAGAGTCCTTTTACTTTCCTCTTAAACTCTCTATGCTTACTTACTGCTACTGTCTTAAGCCAGATCTGTCACCCCCTATCATCTTTCCCTAAGATGCATTAGAGACCACACCCGTCTCATTCACCACGCCTACCACAGCACCCGGTTCGTAACTGGTGCTCAGTACACATACACCCCTGAGCGAACCTGGACTACCACAGCAGCCTTCCCTCCCGGTCTGTCTGAGGCTGCCCCCTTCTAATCCATTCTCCACACTGGTCACTGGAGTAGTCTAACAGTATGAGATTATCACTCGCCTCTTACACGTTGAAAGGGCCGTCACTGCCTTTGGGATAACAACTGAACTCATTTTCACGCTGAGACCTTTTGCTATCGGTCTGGTCTCAGGAGGCTCTTCCAACTCCCATGAACAGCTATGCCTTCCCATACGTCCCTAATTTTGCACAGTCTGTTACTTTCGCCTCTAGAACAAATCGCTCAGTAGCTGGCAGCTAGTGTTGGTGCAAATCTGGAATCCACGTCTGGAATAACCATCCCCGGATTCTGAATACCTCAAAAGACAGAATATGTTCATTTTTATCCACCAGTACAGCTTCTGGTGCGAAACTACAGCTTCGGCCTCTTATTACGCTCCCTTTCCGTCTGCGCTTCTATGGCCCATGCTCTGGGTTCTCCATTAACTCGCCACTCCTCATTTCTCTTACGAATCTTGGCCTCCCGAAAGACACATATCCATTCCTTCAAATGAATATGCCGTAGAGCAATTTCCTTACAGGGATCCTACACCCAACAAACTCTCTCCCAATCTGTGCTTACCGGCTGTTGATACTGGAGTCAAAACCTGCACGAAACTCTTCCTCGCTCACTTCACAGCCCAGGATGTGGACCTGCTCCCCACTAAGGCAGAGATGAAGGAGAGTGTCACAGAGCTGGGCCCAGCCTTCCTTCCCGGGGACTTTGGGGGGAAGGCTGCGGGATACTCACCCCAGCGCAGCTTTCTTGATAAGCGCCTTCAAGAGACTGCGCCCCTCCCACTCCACGGAGTCTGGGGAGAGCGAGGGACGGATAACCAGCGTGAGAACGCTGACGTTTCCGTCCTCACCGACCCCGGGGGACCACCCCTCGCCGGTGACACGCGGCTCTTCCTCTCCGCTGCCGCCCCTCGAGCCCAGCTCGCAACCCCCGGCGCCTCTGGCCCTCACCCCGCAGCAGCACCAGGCCGCGCAGAGCCAGCACCGACTCCATCTCCAACTGGCGACCCGTCCCTCCTCCGGCGCCCTCTGATGGCGTCACGGCCCGCCGCCCCGCCCCCTCCAGGGAAAAGGGGCGGGGCACCCATGAGTCCTCCCACAACCAAGACCCGGCCCGGTCCGGAATGAGAGGTGATTATGTCCAATATCCCAGGGGGCGCTCACGCGGAGGGGCCCCTCCCGAGATCCGGCGCACAGACGCAGGACATTTTTACCACGACTGGGGCCGGAAGAGCCGTTGGGGGCAGTTGTCGGCGGGAGGGGTAGGAGGCCGCACGAGCCCGTCCGACGGCCCGACACCCGGGGACGAGAGACGTCACCCGCCCCGCCCACGCCGCTCCAGGCGGGGCCCGCCTCGCCCCCGGGGTCCGCCCCGCTGCCACCTTCCGCGCTTGCGCGATACTGCGGCCTTGTTGGGAGCGCTCTCGGCTTTCCTCTACCCGCCCCCATAGACCGAGGAGGGGGAACTTTAGTCCCGGTGAAGCGAATACACGTCACCACCGGAAGCAGTGTCAGAGGGGAAGAGGAGGGGGGAAGAAGGGAGGAGGGAGCCCTTAGGGCGGTAAAATGGCGCCTGTCAGAGTGGGAAATCCAGCTGCAGAGGCTGCAGAGGCTGCAGCCCCGCTCCCCAGCGGCTAAGGCACCCCCGACTTCGGGGAGGGGGAGGCCGCTCCGGTCTAGCCATCCGCGCCCTTCGGCTCCCCCTCCCCCTCCTTCCCCGTTCCTTCGCCCAGCCGGCCCGTCCGCCACCGCCGCCGCCGCCGCCGCGGCCCTTCGCGCGCCGCGGCCCCCGCCCGCCCTTTCCCGCGGGCAGCCCCCTAACGCGCCTGCGCAGCGGGCCACCCTCCGCTTCCCCCT